AGAAAGTCACCATTAGAACACCATATTAATAACTACTGCTGGCAAGATGAACCAGCTAAAATGAATGGGTGTATGTATGTATAAGAAGCAAGAAATTTGTATAACCTCAAAGTATTGCTCCCCAAATATTGTATTAGTTATAGAAAGGTAAATAGTAACATTCTGTTAGAGAAACCTAGTGGACAACCACCTTAAGTGATCAGTGTTAACTTAAGCAGTATTAAGATATGGTGCATGGTACATTATGCACCAAGGATACAACATCAATTCTGCAGTATTCTTCCCCAAATGCAAACCTCAATCTAATCATGAGGAATCAGAACAAATCCAAGTTGAGGGACATCTTACAAAATAACTGACCATTTCTCTTCAAAAACCCAAGGTTATAAAAGACAAAGAAAGACCAAAGGAGACAGGACCCTGGATTGTATCTAAGGACAAAAAAAGGACATTGACGGACAAACTGAAATCCCAGTCTGTCATTTAGTTGTTTTATATTAGTATTAATTTCTTAGTTTTGATAATTATACTATGATTATGTAAGATGTTAACATCAATGGAAGCTGGGGGAAGTATACAGCAACTCCTTGTGCTGTTTTTGCAACTCCTCTGTAAATCTAAAATTATCTCATAAAAAGTTTGTAAAAATTATCTTGGTTTGCATAAAAATTATATGGTCATACTACCTACAAAGGTAATAAAAGGTAATTACTTTCATTGGTTTCTTGTGTATTCTCCTGCCTATTTTATTTTATTTCTGCATATTATAGGGGTACAAATTTTAAGGTTTAAAAAAATCCCTTTTCCCTCCCTCCCCCCACAACTCTGAGTTTCCAGTGTGACCATCCCCCAGATGGTGCACATCTCACTCATTATGTATGTATACACCCACCTCCCTCCCCCCTTCCACCTGCCCAATACCCTATTACTGTAGTACCTATGTGTCCACTTAGGTGCTGCTCAGTTAATACCAGTTTGCTGGTGAGTATATGTGGTGCTTGTTTTTCCATTCTTGGGATACTTCATTTAGCAGTATGGGTTCCAGCTCTAACCAGGAAAATATAAGATGTGCTATATCACCATTGTTTCTTAGAGCTGAATAGTACTCCATGGTATACATATACCACATTTATCCAAATACAAAATTCTATTGCTCTGTTGTTACACAATACCTTGCTTGTTCAACTTAAACTATATCCTGTAGAATTTTCCTATAAGTACAGAGATTTTTCTTATTTTCTTTTCCAATTTTTATTATGAAAGTCATTTTAGACATACAGAAAATTTGCAAGAATGGCATAGTAAACAGCCACATACCAACACCTAGACTTCCTTGTTTTCTTTTATAAACACAAGCTATTCCACTTTGTGGAATTAATTCATCTATTTCTCATCTCACAGATGCAGAAAATTCTGTCTTGCTCCACTGTTGTTATAATAGGGTGCAGATCAGGAGGAGGTGGAATCTAACCAAAATCCATAGGCTCTGAAGCTAGATAGACTCAACTCCAAATAACTGTTCTGTCACTTACTAGCTGTATGACCCTGGGCAAGTTACTTAATTTCCCCAAATGTCAGTTACCTCCTCAGTAAAATAGGAATATAACAACTACATCCTAAGGTTATAGTCAGGATCACATGAGGTGAGATATATAAAACACCCAATTCAATAGATGTTAGATTCAATAGATGATAGACAATATTATTGTTATTATTCAATCAGAAAATTTCAGAAAGACACAGGGAAAACACCATGTGAAGTTTGGAGTTACACTGCCACAAGCCAATGAACTACCAAAAGCTAGGAGAAAAGCCTCCAACAGATCTCTCCCTAGTACTTTCAGAGGAAACATGGTCCTACTAACACCCTAATCTCAGAACTTCTAACCTCCAGAACTATGAGACGATTAATTTCTGCTGTTTCAGCCATCCAGTTTGTGGTACTTTGTTATGGCAGCCCCAGGAAACTAATGCAGTTTAAAATTGTAATATATTTTTTGTAAATAAAGGTACATTTAGCTACAATTTCTTATTTTCCCTATGTATGGTGACTTTTGGAATACCCTGGAGAGAGAGTAAGAGAGCACAACCAAAAAACTTTCACCTTTCATGATAAAAACAAACAAAACTTCAGAGCAAACTAGGAATAGAAAGGTCTATCCTTAACCTGATTGAGGGCATCTACAAAAAACATACAACTAACATCATTTAATGGTGAAAGAATACTTTTCTCTGGGATCAAGAACAAGGAAAGGTTGTCCACTGTTACCACTCCAAGAGAAATAAAACATATGTTCACACAAAACATATGTCACACAAAAATTTGTTCAAAAAAAAGAAAGAAGGGAAAGAAAATTTCAGAAATATCAGGCAGCTGATCTGTGTTAGCCAATTGAAAGAACATTCCTGTTTCTTCCTTCTGTTGATTATGTGTCTCTCTCTGTTGAGACCAAAAGAGTATTTTAATTTTAGGAAGTAAAATTGAGCTGCAGCAACATCACCATAACCTTGACCTCATAATCTTAAGTTTGGTCAATAGAACAAGGTAAAAATCTACCCTGATTGCAAAATTTAGTTGGTCGAGCTAAGTGGTGGAGGCCTAGAAGCACTGTTACCCTTAACCAATTTAGCTAACAGATCTACCTCCTCGGCCCTGAGCTGATTCAACAGCTCATTAAAAAGCCAGAGACCCTTCCAAATCCTAATCTCTATACCCATAGCCAATATTTTACCAAAAGATCTGGATTGCTCACATAAGGTTACAAACTGGTTAGTGAATTTGTGATTCTTATTCTTCCATTGTACTGACAAGATATGAAAAATTTGATTTGTTTGTTCTTGTTTACATTTTTGTCCACAGAATACATTTCCAACTCCAACAGGAAGTTGTTGCAGGTAACTTTGCTGCCACTTGTGAATATCATGTCAAATCATCAGCAGCTCTGAAAGAAAGGAGATACTGTTTCCTGGCCTACAAATAGAATAGACTGTGTAGTCAAGAGAGTGAAACATAGCCTCTAAGCCAGGGGTCCTCAAACATTTTAAACAGGGTGTCAGTCCACTGTTCCTCAGACCGTTGGAGGGCCGGACTACAGTTTAAAAAAAACTATGAACAAATTCCTATGCTCACTGCACATATCTTATTTTGAAGTAAAAAAAACAAATGGGCAAAAACACCCTCATGTGGCCCGCAGGCGCTAGTTTGAGGACGCCTGCTCTAAGCATTTAAAATTTATTTAGTAATTCATTCACTTAACAAACACTTGCCAACCCCCTACTGTGTGCCAGGCATTATATTTGGTGTTGAAAATAAAAAGAACAAAATTTCTGTCCTCAAGTCATTTATAGCCTAAGATACATTGACAGTTACAAAGTGCTTTGGGAGAAAACAGAATGGCTTCACAGAAGAGGCTAAGTTTCTGTTGAGGTCACCTGATTGACAAGACAAGAGGAAAAGCATGCCTGCCAGAGTGAGCAGTGCCTGAAAGCACGAAGACATGCTATGTGCTAGTAAGGCTTGAGTTCTGGGTTCTATTGGGGAACTAGGTGCAGAAGAGAATGGTGGGTAAGTCTTTTACTTTTTAAAGATCTTCTGTCTCACTGCGTGATCTCAGAAAAAAAATAAAAATAAAAAGATCTTGTAGTAGCTGTATGAAGGATGCCTTGGAAAGGGTGCTAGGAAAACCAGTTAGGAGTCTATTGTATTGTACTGAGAAAAGATGTGGTAGTTTATTGAAGACTTCAGTTTCTTTAACTTTGCAATTGCTTGACTTGAGTTTTTTTTAATGGTTTGCCAGATGGTGGATGGAGGAAAAGAAATGAAAAACACTAAATTTAATCAATTTGGCTCCTTGACTGATGTTTAACATGGAGATTTGAGGAAAAGGTGAAAACTCTCATTATATTGAAGCATGTGCATTGTCTGTGGAGGGCATACACGTATCCCTCATCTCTTAATTCCAGAGATAAATCAAAGGTCATTTCAAGAGAGAATGTAGTTACTGAAAATAATTGGCTCTTTGAATTGACGCTTTAAAATCCATTCCCACTTTCCATATTAAAAGCTTTATTTGGTCCCTTCATCTGAATAATGTATGCAGTGCTCATTTCTCTCTGGCAGGACGGGCTCACAGTTTGATGAATATATTTTACAGCTGTGGTTGAATGGACACTCTTTGCATCTCACGTTGCCTCGGCTATCAGATGAATCAGAATAGCCAGATCAATTCAGTCAGACACTTGGTAAGTAAATGAGGACTCATCTCCGATCTGACTGCATTTATTGGAGAACTGAAGTGATTCTCAGCTGTGCCCTCAGGGAGAAGCGAGAAATGCATTAATTGCCCTGGCAGTGATCGCAGGTGTCTGTCCAGCGACCAAAACGCAAAGCCGTGATTTTTACTATAGGAGGCTTTTCGTTAATTGCCAATACATACTCTTAAAGCAAAACAACTCAGAAATGGCTGTTTTTTAAATTATGTTCAATGGTCTTTCTCGTTTCTCAGCTACTCACACTCAGATTTAGAAATAACTACTCACTTGTCGGCAAGTAAAGAAAACATTTATGCTGAAGAGACGAAATTTAGAACAGATTTATATGTTTTACTCTCCATCTGGCCATCATGGACGAAGACGAAGAGGGGTTTGGTTTTTCCTTTAAAGAGAAGAATATTTGAGCTCTGAATTTTTACTATATTTTTTTATGGTCGTTAACAAAATTTGTTATTTTCCTTTCGTTCGGAAATTACTTGACACTTTAGCCCTTTTTCAACTAAACACATGTTCTGGTCTTGGACTCTCGCCTGGTGTAAGGTATGTGCTAGCCAAACGCAGCAAGCTCACCAGGTGGAGAAAATGAGTCGAAAAGCGCACAAAACAGGACCTCCAGGAGGTGAGTGGAAAGAAACTACATATCCCGGCGTGCCCCGCCCACGAGCACAAAGGAGCCTGTCGTCATCCGGGTCACGGGGCTGCGCGTTCCCTGCGCGCTGCCGGATTCCGGCCTGGGTCCCGCCCGGGACGGAGGGCCCTCCTGGGCCGGGAAAACTGCAATTCCCGGCATGCCCTGCCACGGCTGCGCCTGCGTACGGGAGATATCTTGCCGGGGAGCGGGTTGTTTTAAAGCGCTGTCTTAGTTCCATGGAAACCGGCCGGCCTGCAGCCGGACAGAGCCACCGGTTGACAGATGGACAGTGGGGTGAGGTTGCTGGGCCCTGAGAGGGTGACCCGGAGTCGGAGGCGCGAGGCCCACGAGGGGGTTGGGGGGTCGGCCACCATCACCACTCCCTGCCGCCCACTCCTGTCCCTGACGGCGTCCAGGCTCGCTCCCTGGACCTCAGCCCTAACTTATGGCGTTTCTGCATTGGATGCCAGTGAAACCCATTTAGGAGCGAAGTTTGCATTGGCCTGGCTCCAGCTGAGGGAGGGAGAACAGCCACCGAGGCCTCCAGATAAGCCCCAATACCCTTTTTAAAATATGTTATGTTGGAGGTTATAGATTCCTGGGAAGGCCACTTCAGCGTTAATATTTGATTTTTGTTACCAGTTACCCTCCCTGGCCTGCTTACTAGAATATAAGTGTCAGGAATTTACATTTGTTCATTGCTGTTTCCTCAGTACCTGGCGCTTGTGCTAGAATAGAATAGACTTGTTAAATTTTTGTTGAAATATCTTCCTATTTATTTGCAACCCACGATGTCGTAGGCATTGTGCTAGACTCTGAAGGTAGAAAACGAATTAAGAAATTGGCCCTACTTTGGAGAAGTTCCCATTAGTCTGCCTTGAACACCTACACACACGTGCCTGATTTGCTAATCTTGGAGTGGCTAGGACTAGGTCATTTAATCCTTTCTGTTCTCTGTTATCCAGTCCCATGGCTTTACACTACTGCATATATTGAAGACTTCAGAATTTATATCTCCAGTCCACATTTCTCCCTTGAATTCCGGATCTACAAGATCACTCATTTATTTGGTATTTTTCCTGTTTTTAATTTAACATTTCCAAAACAACTTTTGAACTGCCGCAAATAGGCTTCCTTAATAGGCTTCCATTGTCTCAATGGTAACACCACCCTTCCAGTTGCTGGGGCCAAAAACCTTGGAGTAATCTTGGCTGCTTCCTTTCTTTCATATCTCATATCTAATCCATCAGCAAAACCTATCTAAAATATGTCTGGACTCTAAACACTTTTTACTGTTCCACTGCCATCACCCTGGTATTAACTGGTAGCATTTCCTGCCTGTAGTATTGTAGCATCTTCCACCCAGTCTTTCTACTTCTGCCCTTGCCCTTCTACCATTTCCAGGGAGAAGGGGCAGCCAGAGCAATCCAGTTAAAAGGTAAATTGGATCACAGCACTCTTCAATTATAGCCCATCCAGTAGCTCTGAGTCACTAAGAGTAAAAGCCAAACCTTTACAATTGCCTTCAAGGCTCTGTGTGATCTTGTTCCATTATTACCTTCTGACATCATCTCACACTATTTTCTCCTTCACTCAATCCTTTCGAGCCAAACCAACCCTCTTACTGTTTGTGGACCTGCAAGATCTTCTAACTTAGAGCCTTTGCACTTGCTATGCACATTTTCTGGATCTTTCTATCCTCAGTTATTCACATAGCCTGCTCTTGACCACCTTCACAGGTCTTTGCTCCAGTATCATCTCAGTGAGGCTCTTTTTTGACCCCTCTGTTTAAAATGAAAACCTGCACTGCAGCCTTCATACCTTGTTCTTATTTTTCTCCGTGTGCTTATAACCAGTGAAAAACCTATGTATTTTACTTAATGTCTATCTTTAACTGGAATATAAGCTCCATGAAGACAGGGAATTTTGTCTGTTTTGTTCACTGCTATGTTGCCCAGTGCCTCTAACAATAACTGGGTCATGGTAAACATTCAGAAGATATTTGTTAGGTGTGTAAGTGAACGAAGACAGAGTTACTGACCAAATTCTCTTCCAGTGGTGGTGATAAACAACACTGAGTCCCTGGCCTGTTATTTTGGAACCAATAGCATATAGTTATATATGCATTTGCTAGGTGTAGACCTATTGCTACACCTACTGCTATTCCTACACCTCCTAGGTGTAGGAATGGAGACTGTGTCTACAGAAGCAAGTGTTGTTCTCTTTTTAAAGTCAACTGGCTTCTACTAGTGTATTTCTTATGACATTGGTCTTTTTCATGCCATGCTTTCCATGAGGTTACCTGCCCAGAAGCTCTTTGAAATACTTTCCCTAAACATTGAGACAAAATTGTATTGGTTTGATAATGATATACTTATGGAAATTAGTTATGAATGAACATTTTAAAAATAAAAGTTTATATCTTAGTATTTTTATTGTTACCATCAAGAATTAGGACTTAAGTTCAAGATAGCATTTGATATTTGTTCCTTTTCAAAAACAACAAAGCACAGATATGTTAAAGTTATTGTCTCTTTGCTGGGATATTAGCCATTAGAGGTAGATCCTTATAAGACTGTACTTAGACTATGAGCTATAGCAGGGGTCCTCAAACTTTTTACACAGAAGAGGGCCTGTTCGCTGTCCCTCAGACCGTTGGAGGGCCGGACTGTAGTTTAAAAAAAACTATGAACAAATTCCTATGCACACTGCACATATCTTATTTTGAAGTAAAAAAACAAACGGGCAAAAACACCCACATGTGGCCCGTGGGCCATAGTTTGAGGACGCCTGAGCTATAGATCTATGACTTATGAGGATCTGCCAAGTGGCCAATGGATTGTGTATGTGGGGGAGGCATTTCTGCTACCCCTGCTTTGGGCCTGCCAGATGGGCGAAGACTTACAGGGATATAAGCAACTGCAAGTCCTCCCTCTGCTCTCCCCTCTTCCTTCAACAGCCTCCCAGATACTCAGGGGCTCTCCCTGGTGGCTATTAAGGCTGTCCTCCTCTTGCTACTCAGCCATTACCGCCCTCTCCCTTGCATCCAAGGATTCTCCTGACCTTGACATTGTTTGGTTTTTGTTTTCCTATGGTGAGGGTGATGGGAGTGGGGCTGGGGTGGGAGTGGTGGTTGGGAGGAAGGATTTTCAAGTAACCCTGAGACCTGTTTTTCATAAATCCCCAATGGCTAGAATTGGCTTGTTTAATTGTTGAGTCAGCAGCTGCTTTGATGACCTGAACAGGGTTCTCACTGATTGACTCTGAGGGTATTTCAAGGACAGCACCATGTATTTCACTCATAACCTTTGTCCCCTGCCCACTATCAGTCAGTGACCCAGTAGTCACCTCCATCTCTCCTTCCTTAGGATGAATTTTCTAAAAGCCACCTCTTTCTCAGAGGCTGGGGGCCAAGTTGATTCCTCCTCTTTTTGTGAGAATATGTTCTCTTTCTGGAAGCCTGAGAAGCTCTGGTGTAGAGCAGGTGGGACTGGGTACTGATAGAAGTCAAATTCTTACCCCAACAAGTAGACTTTCTTTTTTAAGCAAATAAAGCAATTTAATTTGAATTGTTTTCCATTTTGTTTTTATGGGTGAATGTGCATGCACCCTTTAAAGGAAATATAAGCATTTTATATAGATCATAAGTACCTTAGGGAAATATTAACAAAACTAGACATTTCAACAATTACATGAAAAATATTTAGATAGGAATCTGCATCCTATTCAAAATACATGGAGGAAACTTCTCTGTTTTCTATTTTTTTCCCCCAAAAGTAGACTTTTGATATATTTATATTAGTAGTATGTGCTTGGCTCCTGATGTAAATTAATATAGACAGTCTTTTATAACCTGCCTTACAAGTTACCACAGAAATTGTCCTCCCTCCCTCTTCTCTGGCACTACTTGTCATTTCCTTTACTTGCTCCTCCTCATTTTTCTACCAACTGGATTACTTGCCAGATACTACTGTGTATCAGAACAAAGTGACTAAAACAACAAAAAAAAGCAAATGTTTATTTTTCTCTAAGTTCTCTAAGCAGAACTTGTAGATTACTGGTTTTGCCAAAAAATGTCTGGTTAATTTGAGCTTCTCTGGCTTTTTCCTTGTATTTCTCAGGTACAGGTGATTCCTGGTTCTTTGTTTATATTTAACATAAGAGGGAAGGGAAGAAAAGGACAGGTGCCATAATTTCTGTCCTTTTTAATCCAAAAAACAAGTCTGCCTAGATGCCCCTTTGCAAACTTCTGCCTAAAGTCTAGTCTTATTGGCCACGATGTAATCACATAAGTGTGTCAGCCGCAAGGGAGGCTAGGGATGTGAACTTTTCCACCTTTGAGAGAGGACAAAGGATCCAACTGTGTCTGCATGAGCCCTATTAACCTCCTTTTCTCTACTTTTTCTTCCCACCCTTAAGCTTGATTTATTTCTAGGCTGGCAGTATCCAGACAGTAGGTAACAGAGAATGGAATGGAGGGTAGACCATGTGGTGTTTCTCCATTGTTACCCCTCCATTTTTCCACACCTGACACTACTGGTGCCTCTCTCAATTCTAGCCCTGCTTTATGGCAGCAGAACCAGCTCTAGAGGCTTACTCAGAGGCTCTTCCTTCTGTCACTTAAGGAATTCTACCCTGGCTCATGCAGTAAGGTGACCAGGAGTCTCTACATTTGGCTATTTATCAGAAATGTAGATGAACCTTGCTTCAAATCTTTGTGTGTCCAGAGACTCCATTAATATCTACATGAGTTTTTGTCTTTCCCATTAGGAACAAATTGGAAACATGAAAGGGAATTAATAGAAGGGGAGCTTCTTTACCCCATGTTGTTAAGCTGATTGTTAGCAGCAGATCTCTTGAAGAATGCAAAAAGCTTGTGTCAGAAATGCATACTGTTTCCCAAAGGAGCATTTTCTGGGACCTGTGGGGAGAGGATAGAAAGTGATTGGAGAACTATTTCCAGATGAAGAAATGTCCCCAATGGGTGTAGCAAGAAGCTCAGCCTTTCCACAGCCACCCACCATTCTTGCCCCCTTATGTCCTACCATCAGTCTTCCTGCTTCATGAGTTTCAGTCCTGGGAACCACCTTCCGCAACTTGGACCTGAAATGGTCCCTACTTTCACTGCTTGGGAGGTGAGGGGAAGGGATATACCTGATTATACAGCAAGTGGGCAGAAAGTGGTATACCTGATATCCCAAGTTGGACCTTGTGAACACATTCCCATAGGAACACTATTACTAGAAATGGTTAAGATTTACAGTATGATTAGTATAGAAATGTATGGACAGGATGGAGTTGCAGGAAAATATTTTTAAAGTTTTTTTTACCAACAACCTTGTCATTAAACATGATTTATTTACATGTTGGGACCACATATAAGCTTCTGCCACTAATTCTGTTTCTGTCACTAATGATCTGAAATTAGTTTTACTATTCCCATTTATTGGCCTTTTGGGGAGGAGTTTATGAAAATTTGATGTCAGTAGCCATAGGAAGAGTCTTTGCTCTTGCTATAAAGTTAAGGTTATAAATTATTTTAGAAAATTGATGCTTCAATGTAGGTTACATAGTTGGCAGATAATTTGTTTTATGACAGCTGCTCAAAGGTCCAAGTATAGAACTTTTTCCAAGAAGGTTAGATGGTAAGTAATAATGTTATAATGTAAATGGCTGATAACAAAAGAGATAATTCCCTCAACCAAGTCATAGGTCCCAGTGTGTGACTCATGGTAACAAATAAGATAGACTAGATTATGATGCAATAACAAGCTACTCAACAATCTCAATGGCTTACAACAACACAGGTTTATTGCTCACTCATAGTATATGTCGTGGCTAAGTCACGGATTTATTTTATGTCATCTGAACTTTGGAACCCTGGGACATGGAGCAGGCCCTATCAGGGATGTTGCTCATCTCATGGAGAAGGGAAAAGAGACAGATGGTGAAGGACAAGCTGGCTCTTAAAGCTTTTATCCACATTTAACTGACCAAAGCAGGACACATGGTCATTCCTGAGTTCAACAGGACAGTGGTACATAATCCTTCCACAGAAAGGGGAAGTGACTATTTTGATCAATAATAGAATCTGCCACACTAATACTGTGACTATATTCTTAGGTGCATATAGAAACTGCAATATCCAGACCAGTCCTTTCTCCAACCCACATCAACGCCACAGCTTCTGAAACATTCACAGTACTCCAGCAAAGGATGAGAATAGTTGAGGAACAGACCAGTTCTCTGAGGAATGATCTAATAATGTTGGACTTTGGTGATAAAAGGTAATAAAGAAAATGAACTAGATCTCTGTTGGTTAAAGAATTTCACTTCACTGCTTATTAATAAGGAATTACAGTAGTTTGGCAGATGGGATAGATATGTACAAAATAATTGAAAAATAAATTTCCATTTGAACATTAGAGAATACTTGCAAGATAAAGAGTTGTCATTTTGTGATAGAGCTATTATCGATATTCCCCTAAACAGATATTTAAAATGTGTTACTTAGATGTATAAATCTTGATATTGTATTTTCCTTCAACACTTGATTAAAAATAAAAGTAGATTTTCATGTAATTAAAAAAATTATTGGTTCTTATTTTAAAATCAAAACTAGACTTTGATATTAGTTAAGGTGAAAATCTAAAATGTTGTTTCATGCCATTAATTTTGTCTTCATTTTCTTTTCCCATATTTGTTGTAAATTAAAAAGGTTTGAAGTCTTGAAAAATTTTATAATTTAAACTGAGGTCGTCCAAAAACGAACTGTATTTTTTCCCTGTTGTTGCTAAAGAAGTTATTGACATTGAAAGTTGGATTATTAATGTCCTGAGGAATCTGGGAGCTTAAGAAGCCAATATCGTATATACTGGTGTCATTTTAAAATAATTACATATATTTCCTGAGTGCCTTTCACTAAGACATCCACTTAGTATCATTGGTATTATAGCACACATGGAATAAATAATTCTTTAACAGGTAAAGATTAAATTTGGTACAGATGTTGAGTATGCTGGTAACATAATAGGAATGTTTATTATGACTTTAAAATTTTTCTAAAAACATGTGAATATATTGCCTTCATGCTAACTTTCTTAGTTCACCACATAGTTAGCATTTAACATGTTTTATGTATCACTTATTTTTATACACACAAAAGTTTATGAAAAATTAAGATTAAAATAAACAGCTATTAAGAAATCAGTGATCATATATCCTACATTGGTCTCATCCTATTTATCTAATAGTGTTCTTTATATTTAAATTTGGAGGGTCTAACAAAAGCTTGTTGACTAAGGAATCTAGTTTTTTTCTGTTTTAATTTTATTTTTAATTGACAAATGTATATATTTATGGGGTACAATAGGATGTTATGATACATGTATACAATGTAGAATGAATCAGGCTAATTAATATATCCATCACCTCACATAACATTTAAAATCTTATTTGTTTGGGGTAATAACATTTAAAATCTCTTTTGGCAATTTGGAAATATGCAATACGTTATTATTAACTGTAGTCACCATATTTTGCAGTGGATCACTAGAGCTTATTCCTCCTATACATCTTCAGGTGGAGGGAGTGTCAGGAGCCTCCTATTCTGCCATGTTGCTGACATCACTTTCTAATTACTATCCTTATTAGAAATGTTAATTAATTCAGTGGTTGGGGTTACCATAGTGCAAATTGCATTGCATGATATCTCTATATTGGGATCTTTGTCTAGAGGCCAACTGGAAGCTCCAAACTGTTTAGAAGAACTTGCCAGCCAGACAATCATTAGCCCTATCCAAAATGAAGTAATTTGTTCAGGAAAAACAGATATTTTATGGAAGAACTGTGAGTTTCTGGTAAATCGAATGTGCCGTCTGGAAAGTCTCATCCAGTCCTTGAAGATGAGCATCTTTCGCCTACAAACTGAAAAGGATTTGAATCCACAGAAAACAGGTATAGAAAGAAGCGAATCATCAGAAATTTGGTCCTGTGTAGGTGGTTGATGAGTTTTTGATTCTTTTCCTTTACTGACCTTTTTATTGTTTGATGGCCCTCCTGTGCTGTCTGGTAGCTTTTCTGAAGGATCGACTGAATATAATACAGGAGGAGCATTCCAAGGATCTGAAGCTGTTGCATCTTGAAGTTAAGAATTTGCGCCAAGAACTCAAAGATGTAAAAGAGGAAGAAGACAAGGCACAAGATGAAGTGCAAAGGTTGACTGCCACTCTGGAGATTGCCTCAGAAACAAAGGTTTGAGTCCAGACTTCTGAAGTACAAACTCACTGTTATGTGTTAGCTGAAGGAGGAAACAGATCCATAAAAATAACTTTTAAAAATAGGTGATGTTGATATAAGGATTCTTGGCATTTGATATTTATCTTCATTGATAACCTAAGCACTATGTGCTATCAGTGATTGATTATTTATAGAGCCCTTACCTTGTACAAGTGATAGGGTGCAGAGATACGAGATCGAGTCTGTGCTCTTCAAGAGCTTATATGCTAGCTGAGAGAATGGGGCATAGCATATAGTGAAAAAATAAGAGTATAGGAAATGTTATAGCACCATACTGGACAAAAAGTAAATATTGCAGAGTAAGGGCTTTGTGTTCAGGCATCTTTGAGAGAGAGAGAGGGAGAGAGAGGATGCCCCATCTAGAATAGATTAGGCCTCAGAAAGAGAGAGGATCATTAGAAGGCAAAGTGAAGGGGTAAGGACATTTCAAGAAGCTCATGGAGGCAGCAAAAAATAAGAACTACTAGGAACAGAAACTAACAATATTGTTCTTCCCACCATGGTCCAGGCAGTTAATAGGTGTTCAATGTGTTATTTCATTTAATCTTTGCAAAACCTTGTGAAGGATATTATTGTCCCTGTTTTTAATAATAAGAGTACTGGGACCCTGGGAGAAGTCACTTGTCCAAGAACACACATGCCTGTCTTCTTCCTGTACCAAGGTTTGAACCTAGATCTTTCTACTGGTGTAGTTATGTATAAACTAGCCAGACAGAAGTGAGGATTTGTTTGTGGGAAATAAGTTGAATATTAGCTAGAGATCACATTATGGAGCATCTCAAAATGAAGAATAATCAGTAGTTACACTTAATTCTCTGGGGAGTGATTAAGATTTTCGATATGGAAATAACATAATGAAAACAGGAAAACTAATTTGGCAGTGTTATGGAGTACCCATTATAGGGAGAAGAGATTGGAGGCAGGGAAACCAGTTAGGCGCCCAATGTAGTATTTGGGGCAGGAGCCTAAGTAGGTCTGATCTAGGCTTACATCATTTTGAAAGAAAGTGGGATATTCTGTGAACAAAGATGTTAGAATATGGTATTGGATAGGGTTTGAAGGCAGGAAAGAAGACAAAGATGACTCTGAGGTTTTATATCTGGGATTGTGGGCCATTAATAGTATTTAAAAAGAGAATAAGTAGTGAAAGCTGTGTTTTTCATCCTCAACTCCTAATCATGAATATTTTAAGCCAGAAAAATTGAGTTCTTAAAAAAAAAGTCCTGTAAGAAAAATGTCTATCAATTATCAGATTGTCCTATTGAATTTTACATAGAAGTGGGTGTGATTAATTACTGTTTATGATATAAAAGAAGATATGATAGAAGTCATGAATCAAAGTAATAAAATAACTTTCTTTTTAAATAACTCATTGTAATAATTCATATTTATAATAAGGAGTATTTATAACCATATTAAAAATAGCATTTATAGGTTGCCAGAAAAAAGCCTAAATTTGAACTAATATACCTATAGACAATTTTTTCCTGTCATTTCAGATTATTTAGAACCTTTTCCCCTTCTACTTTTAGAAGAATGCAGCCATTATTGAAGAGGAATTTAAGACCACAAAACGTAAAATGAACCTTAAAATTCAGGAGGTAAGTCAAAAAGATGCTGGAGGGTGAAAGAGGTATTGGAAATGCAGAGGGGAAATCAAGACAGTAAGAAACCTTTGAAGAAGGAAATATATGACTGTGTAGTTCAATTCAAGTGAAAAGTGCCTGCCCTGCATGATGTTAAGACTTCCTTTTGCCTCAATACTGCCCTAAAATTAGAAATAAAAAATAAATGTTCTCTGAGCCAGAAGGGAAATAGTTATCACATGTGGTTGCCCATGTACTACACTTAAGTGAATACCTTCATGCAAAGGCCTTTTAACTGAAAGTTGTGTTTAAAATAAAAAGCTTTTAATAAGTCTGCTCATCTAATTTTACCTTAAAACCTTCATGTGTGCATGGTTTTTGGGGACATAAGTTTTCATTTCATTGGGTAAATACCTAGGAGTACAATTGCTGGATCATATGGTGAGCCTATATTTAACCTTGTAGGAAACTGCCAAACCTGTCTTACAAAATGGCTATGCCATTTTGCATTCTCATCAGCAAGGAATGAGAGTTGTTGCTGCACATCCTCATCAGCATTTGATGTTGTCATTGTTTTGAATTTTTGCCATTCTAGTAGGTGTGTAGTGGTATCTTATTTTAATTTGCAATTCCCTAATGACAGATGACATTGATCTTCTCATACACTTATTTGTCATTTATATATCTTCTTTGGCGTATCTATTAGACCTTTTGCCCATTTTGTAACTGAGTTGCTATTTCTTTTAAATTGTTGAGTTTTAGGAGTTCTTTGTATATTTTGGATACCATTTCTTTATCAAATATGTGTTATGCAAATATTTTTCCTAGTCTGTAGCTTGTCTTTTCAGCCTCTTAACAGTGTCTTCTGCAGAACATAAGCTTTTAATTTCAATGCAGTCCAACTTGTCAATTTTTCTATCATGGATTCTAATTTTGGTGTCATATCTAAAAAGTCATCAACAAACACAAGTCACCTAGATTTGCTCTTATGTTATCTTTTAGAAATTTTATAGTTTTGCATTTTAATTTATGTCTTTGATCTATTTTGAGTTAATTTTCATGGAAGGTGTGAGATCTATATCTAGAGTGATTTTTTTTTTTTGCATGTGGATGTCTAGTGGTTCTATTAAAATTTGTTGAAATATTATCCTTTCTTCACTGGATTCCTGCTTAACATTATTCTTAATTCTTGGTGCTGTACTAAAATATTGAATTTTGATTGAACTCTGTCAAGGACCTGCGGAAGGACTATACAGGTCAAACAGGCATTTTGAGGGTATGTGGAACAGGAAGAGTGTATTATTAATAATTTTCCTGGGTGCCATAGCAAAGTCCCACAGACTTGGTGGCATTAACAGAAATTTATTTCTATTTTTATTTAGTTCTGGAGGCTAGAAGTCCAAGATTAAGGTGTCAAGAGGGTTGATTTCTCCCAAGGCCTCTCTACAACAAGGCTTGCAGATGGCCGCCTTCTTGGTGTGCCCTCATATGCTCATTTCTCTCTGTGTGCATCCCTGGTGTCTCTGTGTGTTCAAATTTCTTCTTGTTTTAACTTAATCACCTCTTTAAAGGCCCTATCTTCAAATGGTTACATTGTGAGGTACTGGATGTTAGACTTCAACATAAGAATTTTGGGGGGACACAATTCAGCCCATAAACATATACAGATAGAGTAAATGTGATATCTATCTTCTTAAGAGATAGGAAATATATATATAATATGTGAAATATATATAAAATATGTATCTGAAAACATTAAACAGATTGACTGCCCTTAATAATGCTTCAGAAATGAATACCTCAGTAGTATAACCATTAACTAGAAATTCTTAATGTACTTTTATACATTATATGTGTATCATGTATAAAAAAGGAAAATGTCTGTTTATAAAAATAACCATTCTTTAAAAAGGTGACTAGCTAAATCCTTTTAAGCCTACATCATGGAAATAATTAAACATGGAGTTCAAAAGTAAAATATTTAATTCTGGATGAACTCTAGACTGAATAACATTTGACAGTGATGCAACTAAAATTAGGTAATTTCATGATTTCATGGGTGAGTATAAATTACATCTTGAGGAAATTATGCCATAATTTGATACAAAGCTTAGAAAAGTATATGAAGCTATTCTATATGATAAATTATAATCTAATACTAAAACCTGAAAAAATATAGCCCAAAATAAAAACCATGGCTCATTCTTACACAAGATTGTAATATTTGACTTATCATTGGATTAGTAAGCAATTTATAAACTTGAAAAGAGGAACAACATTATAAAAAGCTCAATAGATTTGACCATATGAGAATTTAAAACTTCTACATGTAAAAAGCAAAATGAATAAAACATTATAATAAAACTAGGCAGAGTTGTTAATTTTCATTTCTAAAATAGATTAGAAATACCCCCCAAAACGGGGCAAAGAATAAGTACTGACAGTTCAGGAAATAAATATATAAAGAGCTAATAACCATATTAGAAGATGTTTAATCTCACCAGTAACCAAAGAAAGGCAAAGATATTAAGATTTTAATTTTCATTTATTAGATTAGAAAAGATTTAAGAAATGATACTACACACTGCTGATGAGATTTAGTCAGATGTTACTGGTAGGAAGGTAATATTGGAAGGAAAATTACAGTATCAAAATTCTAAAAAGTGTTTATGCCTTTAACCTAGTGATTCTTGTAGGAATTTATCTGTAGGAAATAATCGGAAATGTAATGAAATATTGACTCACAAGTATGTTCAGGAGAGCAGTATTTAGAATAGAGAAAAATTGGAAAAATCTACATGTCCAATATCAGGATTAAGAAAATCATATAGAATTTCCAAAATGAGCGATCTTACAAATTTATCCCAACACATTCTTTAACTTGACATATTTTATAATTTTTAAAAAGCTATCTATAAGGAAAACACATATAAAATGTGTGTACAATTTAGAGGATAAAGTATATTCACTGGTGTTTAAAAAATAGAATTTCAGTTTAACATCACTTCATAAAAGGAATAGCATTTTCTGCAATTCCCTTTTAAGTTGCAAAGGATCTTTTTATCTCGTGATAAAAGACTCTTAACTGTCTTTATGTTTTATCTGAATCATTTTAGAGTCCTTTATTGACAGAAATAAGGTCAGTATACCTCCAAAATAAGAAAATACTAACGTGTGTTTTCATATTCTCACATACCACTCAACACTTCTGATACCAGATGTGTGGGGATTTCTCCCCACATACTAAGCAATTCTGTTTTCTAGCAGACACCAGCTGGGTGTCCTATAATTCAATTCAATTCTGAAATTGTCTACCTGGAAATAGTGTCAGATCCCACAGGTTAAGGTCTCAGTCCCACAAAACTACCCACCACTTCAGATGCCAATTTTACTTCAGGTCATGAGCTGTCCTTCTGACTGATAGGCTATAAATTGGGGTTTTCATGATCCTTTTCCTTAAGTTCAATTAAGGAACTTTATTTGCTAGATCAGTTCAAACTTTATTTGCTAGATCAGTTCACAGAAATCAGGGAAGCACTTTACTTACAGTTACCCATTTATTATAAAGGACATTACAAAGGGTACTGATGAATAGCCAGATGGAAGAGATGCACAGAGCAAGGCATGTGGGAAGGTGTGCAGGGCTTCAAAGTCATCTCCAGGCTTGCCACCTTTCAGGTACCTATATCATTGAAACTGCAAGAGAGTTTTGGTCTAGGTCCAGTTAGCACAAAGATCCAATTATTGAGACAAGGATTTCCAAGGAAAAAAGGAATTTTTAATATGAAAAAGATGGTAGAGAAGCTGTCTCAAATCTCCCAACTAACGGAGATCATGGACTTTTAAAGAAGGGGCCACATGACTTGGGACATATGGTATAACTAATAAGGGGCTACGCACATTGGAGGCAAGTTGTAGAGGATGATGATGAGTCTTGGCTTGGGAAGTCTGCCCAGGGGCCTTCAGAATCTCAGCTTTTCTGTCTTGGAGAAAATATGCTATTTCTGGGAAACAACTCAAAAGGTCAAGTGGTTAGTTAAGGGAGAGGATTACAAAAAACTTATACGAGTCATTGAAATTTGTTCATGGAGCCTCTGCATGTTACACCTCTGCATGTTCAGCTATCTAAAAGCTCTCCAAACCAAGTCCTTTTGGATTTTTTTGGAGACCTCATTACATAGGCATGATTGATTAAATCATTGGTGGTTTATGATCAACTCAACCTTTAGCCCATCTCCCCTCACTGGAGGTTGGGAGGTGGTGCTGAAAGTCACAATAATCATGCCTTGGTTTTTCTGGTGACCAGCCCCAATCCAGAAGCTATCTAACCCCCACCCTACCTCTAACCAGTCATCTCATTAGCATACAAAAGACACTTTTATCAGGAGATTCCAAGGTTTTTTGTCGTTATATGCCAGGAACCAGGGTCAGATACCAAATATATATATATATATATATATATATTTTTTTTTTGAGACAGAGTCTCGCTTTCTTGCCTAGGCTAGAATGAGTGCCGTGGTGTCAGCCTAGCTCACAGCAACCTCAAACTCCTGGGCTCAAGCGATCCTCCTGCCTCAGCCTCCCGAGTAGCTGGGACTACAGGCACGAGCCACCATGCCCGGCTGATTTTTATATTATATATATCAGTTGGCCAATTAATTTCTTTCTATTTTTATGGTAGAGACAGGGTCTCGCTCAGGCTGGTTTCGAACTCCTGACCTTGAGCAATCTGCCCGCCTCGGCCTCCCAGAGTGCTAGGATTACAGGCGTGAGCCACCGCGCCTGACCGTAAATATATATTTCTTATAGTACAATAACACAGTACTCAAATTTTGGAGTATCAGTTTTGTTTACTACTTAACAGTTTAAGAGTTGAAAAATAAAACCATAAAATACACACTAAGGTCTGATACTAGTGTTCTTTAAACTTTATTTGACAACAATCCATTGTAAGATGTGTATTTTATGCAGCAACAGTACACACATGTACATATGCAAATACATATCATGAAGTAATACTTACCCTTACTATGCCTGCTGATGTTTTCTTTCTATTCTGCTCTTTTTTTTCTCCTTTTCCTAAGTGCTGTCTTGACACCTCCAATTTGGAAAACAGACTTAAACCATATGAAGATGAGGGCAATAAATTCGATCTATATTTCTTAAAAGCTTATCCATTAGGGAGAAAGAAAAGCATGTCTCTGAACAGTCACAAACAAATGGAGAATGTTTGGGGATGAGGTGGCTTGCCTTGTAAACTTTTCACAGTAACCTTGATTCTTTGTTAAACTGGTATGATGTTCAGTTGGTCTTGCCTAACTATGATATTGCTCTGTAGCTAAGGCGACAAGTGGCTCAGGAAAGGCACCTCAGGGAAACTCTAGAAAAATCTGGATCAGCCATGCTACTCAAAATACGAGAAATGGAATCAACAGTGGAGATGGAACGGAAACAGGTAGAGAGATTTCCTCTTCCCATTTATGTTAGGGCAGTGAAACCAAACAAGAAAAGCTGTTATTTTACTTTAAACTTACACTTTTGCTAATTTATTAAAATATTTATTTTTCTGTAATAGTCTGTTAACATTGTTACTACAGTTTTTTAAAAAAATTAGTGCAAAATAGGAAAAAACTCTAATGTTATTTAATCTAACACTTTTAATTTATGATGAGGGAGCTAAGGACCAGAGAGGTTAATTTGCTTTCAGCTTTATAGAGATGAACTCTTAGCTCTTTTTTTTTTTTATTTAGACATATTATGGAAGTACAGATTTTAAGGTTTCAATAAATGCCCTTTCCCCCCTCCCCCCACAAGTCTGAGTTTCCAGCATGACCATCCATCCCCCAGATGGTGCACATCTCACTCATTATATATGTATATACCCACCCCCCTCCCGAACTCTTAGCTCTTGATACAATATCCTTCCCATACAATCTCTGTTATAGGCATTGATTTTGGAAGAAATTGTCCTGGTCTTGTGCTATATATATATGTGATATATAGTAGAAGATAAAGACAAGACTGAGCTAACAGCTGAAGCAAAACATATCAATAAGTAAAACAATCAAGAATATTTTTATACTGTTGTTTTTAATTATTTATTTTAACAATGTTTTTCTCTTCATCATAGTTGTTATTTGAAGTACCAACATATAATTTAGAATACTTTAAATTCTAACTACCCAAGGCTATTAGTATTTTTATATTTTAATACTTGTAATTGGATTACATAATATTTAATATTTTAACCAATGGCTATCCTTCACAACTAATTTATAACAAAGATTCTACTTAAGGAGTTGGCAAATGATCCTTTGTTGCTATAATTTGCACTGCCAATATGATAGCCATTAGCCACATCTGGCTATTTAAATTTAAATTAGTTGAAATTAAAGACTCATTTCCTCACACACTCTAGAACCACATTCAAGTGCTTAATAGCTACTTGTGACTAGTGACTTATGCTGTAGAGTTCTATTGGACAGCACTATTATAAGGCATTGCATTCTATTGAGATTTCAACTGTAACATATAGACTTCTCTTTTCCCCTCAGTGACATTAAGATTGGAAATTCTGCCTTATGCATGTGCTAGAAGATAGTTTATTAGAAAGCTTTATAGAAAGGAATTTTTCTTATACAATTACAGGTGCAAATTTTGCAGCAAAACTGCACTGGCCTACGCAGTTCTATACAGAACACCCAAGATCTACTGGTCCAGGAACAACAAAAAAAAGGAGAGTTGGAGACTGCTACCTCACAGCTCAAGTGTGATCTAAGTATGAAAATAGATGCCAAAAATCACACATTTGTTAGTTTTTTGAGATTCACACAAAAACTCTTAAGATTCCAAATTCTTGAAGTAGCCAGTATTATTGGTATTTCCCACAATCCTGAATGTAAAAAATTGCTGATTTCCTTTCTACTTGTAACACTGAGACAAAAGGAATGTTGTTAATAGAGTTGAGCCTCTTGATTATACACTATTCTTTATTTAGTATTTTTTCCTGGGCTTTTTAAAAATGTCTGTGGACTTGGGTTAGGAACATCTGGTTTCTAGACATCTAGATTGAATATTGGATAATAATATGTTAATAAGGAAATACTGCTATTAATCCTTGCTAACTTAACTGATTTTAGCAATCCATCATGTCAGACTCTCCATTCTTCAGGTTATCCATCTATTCTGGTTAACCTATATTTGTAGAGATGGATCATTGTAAGACCTTAAAGAGAGCTTAGATTAATCTCCTCCTTTTATAGAGGAGTCCTGAAAGGCAACAGAGCTAGAAAATGGAAGAACCTAGACTTGATCCCAAGTGCTCAGTCATGCTTCTTCCAACCCATCAGCCTTTATTATACTACTGTTGTTAATATGTTATTGCAAAGCAGGTTCCAGATAGTCTCACCTACTGAGATCACAGAGTTACAATGCAGTGCTTCACATGATTAACACTTCGTGGTTTACATAGAGCTTTCACGTAAATTATCTCATTTAATACTCAAAGCTATCCATACTTCCCAAAGTTACAAAAGGAAAAACATGGTAAAGTGAGGCTTGTACCTGTGTTTTCTAACTCCAAGCCCAGTGTTCTCTACATCATGCCTTCTCTGCTCTGTGGCTAAAACGGGGGCAGGGAATACCAAAAAGGAAATGAAAATTATAAAAAATATAGAGCAAAGAGTAATCTATTCAATGTTTTGACTTATTCCTTTTAGTGGAAAGTATCCTTTGTCTTATAGTAGTTGGGTAGTGAGTTTACTATGTGAAGTTCTCACTGACAATGTCCCAGGATAATTTTCTGTCTTCCTATGATTGTGTGCCTACAAAAATACATGTTACATTTTATGGTGCTGCCACATTATCTCATTTGAGGATTATAACAACCTTGTCAGAAAGATAAGAAAATATACCCATTCTATAGAAGAATAAAAAGATCCAGAGAGACTTTACCCAAGGACCCATAGCAAATAGAATAGCTGGGACTAAAATACATGTCTTCCTATTGTATTTACTTGGCCTTCTGATTAAGTTTTATATGTTACTCTATCTTTGGATTAATGCTTTATTTTTTAATTTTGTAAAGAATATTTAGAAGACTATTAAAATTGAATATTAAAATAACAGTAATTCATACTAATGTGAGGAAAAGGAAGCTTGTCTGAATGCCAGCTATGTGCTTAATATTGAATTGTAGACCCTCTACATATATATGCAGTTTATTACTTTAAGGTACAAATAGTTATTGTAACTAGATTAATAAAAGAAATGTCTTTAAATGTCTGAATTTTAAAATATAATTATTAAGTTTATTAACAATTAACTTTTATATAAATATACATTACTTAAAGTGATTAAATTATTCTCCCAAGCAAAAAACACTACTCTTTCATTCTTTGATTAGTAGAATTTTCAGAATAAGTCATATAGTTTATCTTTTTGATCTTTCACATATTTTAAATTAGAGTTTATTTTAATGAATTGTGGATTCATGTGTTCAAAAAGTATAGTTTTCTAAGGTATATTCTATTAAGATACAAGTTTTTATGTGTTTTATAACTTTCTGGCTTTAGAATATTTAAGTTCAACAAAATGAATAGATCACTGTGAATTTTTCTATGAAGTCAAAACATTACTCAGAAAAAGTTTACATCTTTTGGCTACTAGTATACAATGCTAGACTGTTCCACAATTTTCTGTATTTGTTTTTCATTTCACTATATGTACTCTAAGTGGTTTCAAATCTATTTTTTCTACACAAAATCCTGCTCCTGAGCTCTAGACCAGTATCTTACTGCCAACTAGACATCTGTATTTGAATGCCCTGCAGATACATCAAAACACATGGAAAACTAAGTATTTCACTTATTCTTACTCATTCTAGCCCCTAAACCTTCTCCTTGCCTTGTATAGTTGAAGAATCCACTATCCATGCTGCTGCCCAAGTCTGAATGCTAGATGTTGTCCCTCATTCATCTTTTGCTTTTACCCCACCAATAAGCCACCAAGCCCTGAAAATCCTCTCTGCTTACTATTTTACAGGTCCGTTTTTCCCCTGTATCTCCATTGTCATTACCAGTCAGAGCCAGCCCTCATTGTTTTATACTTCAGTTACTGCAACAGCTATTAAACTGATCTTTGTGCCTTTATCAAACCTGTGTTAGAGTGATCTCTCTAACAAAAGTCTTTTGATCATGTTCCTCTCCCGCTTAAAATCCCTCAGAGACTTATAATCTATGCACTGAGTAACATGCAACCTCATCTGCTATTGTGAATCACTGTGGACTAGTTTTCAGTGCATAAAAATATGATAGAAATACCTGGGTTCTCCTTATTTCTAAAATACATAGACTAAAAAAAATGTAAAGCTTCTCAGGGAAAACAATACCATATGATTTCAATGTAGCAAGTTATCACTATAGTTATATGGACTTTCTGTTTTTAGTTTCTAGAGATGACATCATTTCCAAGTTGGTTGAAGAAAACAAGGTAAGTGGTGAGGTTGTAGAGAAGAGATGGTCTTTCTTCACTAAGTCCTGTGTCCTCATTAATGTTGGTTTACAGTCCAGATTGCCCTAAAAGCTGTATAAAAAAGTTTCATATTGTATATTAAGGGTAATACTGTGTATTAGGAACTAAGAAATCATTTGATGCAGGTTATTATGGTTTGAAAAGGTGAAAGGGCAATAAAAATGAGATTTCTTTGTGTTTTTTGCTAATTGTTGTAAATTAACTTTTTTGATGAAATGTAAGAAACTTTTTGGTGTTGGTTGCACAACAGTGTGAGTGTATATAATGCCACTAAACTGTACCTTTGAAAATGGTTAGGATGTTACATTTTATGTCATGTATATTTATCATAACAAAAACCACTTTATATCTTTATTACATTTCTAAATTAACCTGTTGATGGGTAGATCCTATTTGGAATACTTTTTCTGGATGCTGTCTAATCCTGTGTTGTGTGATGTTTATCTTTCTTGAGATGCTTCTCCTGGGAAAATAGAAAGGTGGTTCTTGGCTGTGAGGGAGATCTGGCTGTGACATCTGTCACCACATGGGTTGTGGTTGATTAGACTGGGTTAATTAGACTGATCTGGCTGGCGAGGCAGGTGTCCTGTTCCTCTCTCACTGCTCCTTGAGGGTCCTTCCCAAAGCTGAGTGCTCAGTTGAAGAGGACGACCTTCCCTGGTAGAGGAGGATGGATCTTCGGTCAAGGGTATACAAATAGGTGCACTTCCCTGTGTTCTACTCCAGACAAGAAAGGTGGCTCTCTCTCTGTAGGGAGAGGATTTACACTTTGTCCTTCCTCATTCTTATGGTACCTTTTAGGGAAAGCCCAACTGACAACTCACATCTGTCACCTTTCTCTCAACTCAAAGAGAACTAGCTTTTGTCCCCCCACAAAGCAAAGATGCTTTCTTCTGCTCCATTCCCAGGTACTCCTTGATGAAAATATCCTTTAAAAGATCCTTGAATGTGTTCTTTCAAAATCAAAGATCTTACTACTAATAGGAAAATTATATATGTAATATATAATCTTAGAGAATAGAACTTTGATATAAGGATACTAGGTATATTTAAGTTATAGTTTTAGGCAAATGCTTCCTAGTTGGAATCCCAATATGAGAATAGGTTTGATAAACAGTTTTTAAAAATAGCCTTATTTTTTAGAGGAATTTTAGGTTCACAGCAAAATTGAGCAGAAGGTGCAGAGATTTACCACATATCCCTTTCCCTTACACATGCATAGCCTCCCCCACTATCAACATTCTGCACCAGAGTAGTATATTATTACAATTTATGAACCTATATTAACATATCATCATCATCCAAAGCCCATAGTTTACATTAGGCTTGACTCTTGGTGTTGTACATTCTATGGATTTGGATAAATGTATAATGACATATATCCACTATTATGGTATATTTTATCTATTATAGTATCATAGAGTAGTTTCATTTCTCTAAAAATCTGTGCTCCACCTACTCTTTCTTCCCACCCCTCAACCCCTGGCAACCACTGAACTTTTTACTGTCTTGATAAATGTACCTTTTCCAGAATATTATATAGTTGGAATCATATAGTCTGCAGCCTTTTCAGACTGGCTTCTCTCACTTAGTAATAAACATTTACATTTCCTCCATGTCTTTTCATGGCTTGATAACACATTTCTTTTTAGTGATGAATAATTTTCCATTGTCTGGATGTACCACAATTTATCCATTACTGATAGACATCTTGATTGTTTTCAAGTTTTGACAATTATGATAAAGCTGCTATAATATCTGTGTACAGGTGTTTTGTGTAGGCATGAATTTTCAACTACTTTGGGTAAATACCAAGTAGCATGATTACTGGATCATTTGGTAAGAATATGTTTAGTTTTGTAAGAAACCACCAAACTATCTTCCAAAGTGGCTGTACCATTTTACATTCCCACCAGCAGTGAATGAGAATACCTGTTGCTCTCCATCTTCACCAGCAATTGATGTTGTCAGTGTTCTCGATTTTGGCCATTCTAATAGGTGTGTAGTAGTATCTCATTGTTTTAAATAAACAGTTTTGTAAGTAATTTACAAATAAAGAGAAGTTTGGGAAGAAGATACCAAGATTTTAAAAAATTCTTTATAAGATACTTACATATGTAAATCATTGGGACTTGAATTGGTACTGGCCAAAATACAGAACAGATATTTTTATAAAGATGCATAATACATGTGCAAAAGAGAATAATTCTTTTTGTTTTTTCCTTTAGAATGTTCAAATGTCTTTCAACAAGGAACATGAAGAAAATGCATATTTGAAGTCTGAAATAGTATCTCTTCATGAAGCATCAGAAAAAACACAGGTAAATCTTCACCATTTCTCTAGTTTTGGGATATTTAATTTTGTTCAGTTAAAGAACTAAGAACCAAAAATAATCCTGATTATATAAATTTGTACTATCTCCATTATCCAACTTTTTATTTCCATGAGATGATGCTTCATCCATGAGAATTATCAAATTAACTACATTTCTCATTTTACTCTTCAAATTCCCATGACATATACGTATACAAGATACACCACTAAATCATGCACTTGTTTATACTTTGCCTTTGTTTGCTTCCTAATTTACTCATTAAATATATACAGATATATTTTTTCCACACAAAAACTTCTAAACAGTTCAATGGCAAGGGCTATGTTTTATACTTTCTTTATATTTTCTTAGCAAATAGCATGGTAGGAACCTAACAAATTCTTGCCAAATTTTGGCGTTATATGTAATCATTTCCTGTGGGATGGTAGTTCTCAAATTTAGCTGATGTGTGTGTGTATACATATGCATGTATTTTAAGAGTCACCAAATATGCAGGCAAACTGGAGTGATTTATCATAGAGCCCAATGAAATAGTGTTTATCACTTAAGATAACTTTTCTGTTGGTATAATTTGATTATGTCAATGTTAGGACCATAGTGTTGCTGTCCTCTCTTTAATAATAAAATATAAAATAAATGTGTTTTTAAATAAAATAATAATAACAGTAACTACTACTATTCTTCCTATACTGATAGTAGTTAACATTTTCACTGATCCCATTCTACATTCCAGGTATGATTTTAAGCACCTTATGTTATTAATACTAACAAATTGTAATCCTTGCAATAGGCCTATGAAATAGAATTTATTATTCACATTTTAAAGATAAGGAAGCTGAAATACAGAGAGGTTCGGGAAACATAGCTAATAGGTGGCAGAACTGGAATTTGAGTTCAGGTAATCTGGCTCCAAAGAAAATTAGTTATTCTTTTCAAAGAGTAAGGGTTTTCCTGTTTCACCCCCAGATATTCCTCGATGAATAGTTTGTATATCTAGGTATGACTTTATGTCCCTGAATGTGTTCCTAACTATTATATTAGTCTTACTACTTATGATACCTGCCAGATTATCTTTCATCTTTTATCTTTTCTTTCATACCATTTTATTTTTTGTGTTTCTTCCTATTGCTCATTCAAAGTTATTTGTCCTTGAAGAACTTTCACATGAAAACATAAGCCAATCTACCTCGCAAAATTAACTCATAATTAAGATGAATATTTTCCACAGGGATATAGATTTCAAAGTATCAAAAAAAGAGGATTATTGGCTACATGTATGATAGATCTGTAGATCAAAAGATTTTTGTTTTATTTTGAAACATTAATCTTGTGATGGTAAAATTATATTTTACTTTTATGAATACTGTAGTTTGTAGTGAAGAAGCTTACGTATTTTTTGTTACCAGCTAACCAATTCTGAATGCTCAACATCTGATTATGGAAACGGATTTCTATAATACTGGCTAGGCTGTGAATTCCATTCTGCAGATGTCTTGACCTAATGGACCAGTGCTCAAAGTTGTGAAGAACAGAGGATCATAACATGCTGTATGCCCCAGTTGCTCCACCATATCAGGAAATCTCTCCTTTTAATTTAGAATTATTTAGGGTGTTGACTCCAAATATTTGAAAATATTTTATAAACTAATGAAATGTCAATTGAGGATAGGTTAAATAAATTAGGTTCATACACATAGTAAAATACTACATAATCATTAAAAATAATGATACGTATTATAGAATGTCTTTTTTTCCTTTGGATAGATGCCTAATAGTGGGATTGCTGGATCAAGTAGTATTTCTATTTTTAGCTCTTTGAGGTATCTCCAAATTACTTTCCACAGGAGTTGTACTAATTTGCAGTCCCACCTGCAAAGTAAGAGTGTTCTGATCTTTCCACATCTACACCAGCATTTGTTATTTTGGGACTTTTTGATAGAAACCATTCTCACTGGAGTTAAGTGATATTTCATTGTAGTTTTAATTTGCATTTCTCTAATGATTAGAGATGTTGCTGCACTTGAATGTTTATGGCAGCACAATTCACAGTTGCAAAGATGCGGAAACAACCCAAATGCCCATCAATATATGAGCGGATTAATAAAATGTGGTATTTGTATGGAATACTACTCAACTACAAAAACAATGATAATCTAGTACTTCTTATATTATCCTGAAAGAGATTGAGCTCATCCTTCGAAGTATGGTATCACAAGGATGGAAAAACATACACCACATGTACTCGCCATCAAATTGGTACTAACTGATCAACACTAAGATGCTCACATGGTAGTAATACTCACTGGGTGCCAGTCAGGTAGGGGAGGGGGTGGGGGAGTGGGAGAGGTAAACCCATAGCTAATAGAAATGGGGCACACTGTATGGAGGAAGAACACACTTGTAGCCCTGGCTTGGGCAAGGCAAACATATTTTGTGTAACCAAAATGTACCCCCATAATATCCTGAATTTAAAAAAAGAAAGATACATAAATGAAAGTAATTCTTTATTGGAGAGACCTGTGACTTGCTGTATACGTTGTTTTAGGTTTTGAATGAACAGCTGACCGTAAAGTGTTCAGAGCTCAGCTGCATGCTTCAGACTGTTAATATGGAAAAAGCCAGGATCATTGCTGACCATCAAGCCATCCTGCAGGTATTCATTTACCAGTAGTGAACTTCTAATAGCATTCACCAGGTGACAGAAAGCCATCCTGGCTGAGAGATCAGGAAATGTGCAGGCCTACTGGATAAGTAAATATTTTAACAATAAATTTTTTAAAACTTACTGAATTATTTTATTTTTTATTAGTGGCTTTCAGTTTTCATCAGGGGTGATTTGGCCTTACACTCAGTGCTTTTTAATGTTTTCTTTACGATTACTTTAGGAAAAGTAATAATCTCATTATTTATAGAATCATGGAAAACACTTAAGACTAACCCTAAATAACTTACCTTTTCCTCAAACACCTTGCAATTTCCCATTTTGCTTATGCCATTTTCTCTGTTAAGAATGCTCTTTACTTCATCTTCATCTATTTGAAATTCTGTTTATTCTTGGAGTTGCTTTCAGGGAGCTGGATCATCTCAACCAGAAAGGATGAGTTTTCCCTTTCAATTTCTATTCCTAGAACACTAAACAGACTATCATAGTAATAGATTTCATTTTTTAAAGCATACTTACTATATACCAAGCATTGTGCTAAGGTTTTTACATATGTTAACCTCCTTTAATCATAGCAGTCATTATGTAAAGGGGTATTATCCTCATTTTGCTGACAAAAAATGAGATTTTAGAGAAGTTAACTTGCCCAAAGTCACCTAGCTAGAATAGAACTGGATTTAAACCTATGGTGACCCCAGAGTCAATATTTTTAATCATTATTATGCTGACTCCCTATTCTGCCTTCTCTAGTAGTAATTTATGTGCATGCTTCATTTCTTTTATTATTTTGGTGAACTCCCCAGAAGCAAGGACATTATCTTATATATCTTTGTTATTTCCCATAGCACTAAACATGTTTTGCACATAACAAATACTCTGTAAATATTTTTCATTAATTCAACAAACATTGAGTGTTTACTCTGTGCAAGTGCAGTGCTAGATCTAGTTAGAATTATAGTGGTGAACATGACAAAATCTCTATTTTTGTGGCCTTACAGTTGAGTGGACTGAATAATGTAGCATATGTACCACTGTTAGCAAACATTTCAAAATTTTAGAATGTAACATAAGTGGGATCCCATTTTACTAAGTGTGAAGTTGTGAGGTTTGCCTTACTATTGAATATTGTTTAAATAGAAGTGTTTTAAAAAGTATTTATAAAAGTAATTGTTATTATGTAATGTATTTGCAAAAACTTTGTAAGATTATAGGTAGAGGTATATGTGTATAAAAATGTTTTGATAATTCCAAAATGGTGAGCCAGAGAAAATAAATCATGCAAAATAGTGTTTCTGCTGTAACAATATTTGAGTACAATTTAAGATATTCTTTAAAAGAATTCACACTATTAAACTAAACTATTAAATCATATTTAAACTATTAAACATGATTATCCCTAGTGAGTGTGGGATTATTAGAGGGGGTTGTAGGTAGAGACAAAGGGATCTTTTCATTTTATATTTATATAAATTTGTATTGTTTTACTTTTTAGAATTAAACATGTTGAAATTTTAAAATAGCAAAAATATTCTTAATATAATTTTCTATTTTTAAAAATATGTTGGTATTAGGAGTTATATAAATTTTCAGTAGGCTGAGTAAATAATGCATCTTGACTCTTGGCTGATAGAGTTATAAAATGATAGAATTGTAGTCAGCTCAGGACAGGACAAAGAGATGAGCATTAAAATAAATTCTTTCAAAAAGAGGTTTTATTTATATAAATAAAACTTGTCTCTTGTAAGTTAGTTCAGAGTCTTTGATCAGTTACTACTAATGACACCTTATCAAATGACTTTCTGGCATCTCAACTTTTAATATTACCCCTAACCCTCAGGTAGAACAGAAAATGATGACACAGACATTTCAAGAACAAAACTTACTGCTGGATGCAGCCCATGCCAGTATCACAAGTGAACTACAAGTTGTTCAGAATGAGAAAACCGAACTCCAAGCACATCTGTAAGTAAATTATGGGTAACTTCTTATTCATCTGTTGTTCTTGCATTTGTGTTTCTTATTTTTAATGGCAACATTTAATTCTACATTTGCTGGGCCAGCCACAAAGATAAACAGACTGTGTCCTCAAGAAACTAGTTTTATTAGAACATTTTGGTAACTGTTCTTAGGCAGGAGATATGTTCTATAAGAACATTTAATTGCTTTTGCTGTTAAAGTAGAACTCTCATTTAGCTTTCATATCTCCTTGTTCTCTTCCTTCAGGGATCATTTAATCTTTGAGCATAACCAGTGTATTCAGAAAGCACAGGATGCTGAGAAGAGAACAGCTGTGCAAAAAGAACTGCTAGAATTGACAATTGCAAGATTGCAAGGTGAATTGAAAGCATCAATGCAAGAGAACAAGTCTCTGCTAGAGGAGAAAGAAAGATTTCAGAGAGAGGTATGTATGAGCAGATTTATACTATCTTCTAGTTGTGGTGTGGTGATGTTTTAAAATTGTATTCTAAGTGTAAAAGAAAAGAAATAAAACCCAGATGCAGTTTGTCTGATTTGCCCATTAAAGAAATCTTTAGGTGGCTAATCTATGCCTTTTAGTGAGCAAAATAGTCTGTGCTAAATAGTACAGTGTATCCTTATACAGCATTAGTGAATGGTAACCAATAATTCACACATCCTCATGTTAGTTAAGGGGTCATATTTTAAAATTGATTTCCCCTGAAGGAGTGGGACAGTAGAGGTTAAGGGGAAACAGCCCTGTCCCCCTACTTAGGAAGGAACCAGCAGAGTCTGACATGCAGACGTGTCTTTCTAATTTCAGGGCTATTTGTGAAGTCTGCTCTGCCTCAGAGACTCCCTGATTGGCCCCTTTTCTGAGAGGATGTGCTATCTCTGCAGTGTAGGTATTAATTGACATGCAGGATGTGTTGCTATAGTAGAGTCTGTCAGCTGCTGTAAAATTGACCCATTTCTTTTTTTCCCCCCACCTTTGGGCAGGTTGATAAAACAGAAAAAGAAATAGCACAAGAAAAGTGCAATTTGGAAAAGGAATTAGCTCAAAACAAGGTATTCTACCTTTTATTTGTTGATATTTCCTCATATTTCATTTCCTTCTATATTGCTGCCTACTATATTAGCTTTCTTAATGAGGAGATGGGTGATTTTGTTGAATACCAAGATGTGGGAAAAAAGGGAGCCACGATGCTGGATGCCACTCAGAGTACTCCAGTCACTGCAGCAGAAGGTTGCTTCTGGGGAACATTTGTTTGTTGAGCATCTGGGGTTTGCTGTGAGTCATCATTGCCTCTGGCCCTAGAGTCCACTGAGTATTTTAGCCAGGAAGTCCCCTGAGAGTGAGCTAATGGGCCTGTGAGAGGCAAAGGGATTGCTGACGTCTGTTTTTAAATAAGCTAACTTAGGCTTCCAAAGTACCTATCAGCACTTACCACTTTATCTTTGAGGTACCCTTTTCTGGGTTCTAAAAAGTAGAATGTTCAGGGAAATAAAATCCTTGTTAAAATAAAACAAAAGCCAATCTTTAGAAAATTGCTGTTGTGTTTCAAAATTCGAGGAGAATAAAGATTGTGTGTCACTGTCATCTAGAGAATACATCTGGAGCATCAAGAAGTGTTAGTTATCCTAGACAAGAAATCCAGCAATAGGTATGAGATAGAGTCATCAAACCTTAACTATTTCTTTGGTTCTGGCTCACCCAAATGGCATTCATATTACCATCTGTACATATAAATGTTTAATTTAACAGTTGGAGAGAGGAGAAAAGCTAGATTTTGAGCCTGAGCTCAAATATAGTTACCACCAAGCTGGCAGGTGCTCCCTCTGGTTTAGTCATTCATATCTAATGATATGACAATAGTCCACCCTAAAAATCCTTGAATGAAACTGACTACTTCTGGCAAGGACTTTGCCAGTATCAATTTGGCCTTAAATATGCTTTTGAAAATTGGGAAAATTGGTGGCTACTATTAAATTCATTAATGCTTTTTGCTTGAAAATGTTAGTGAATGTTAACATGACTAAGGCAAATGCTGTGAATTTGTTTAGAATAAAAACAGCATTATTGTGTTTGTCTGATTTCATTCATCTTAATGTAGGCTAAGTGTTAAGTTTGTGGGGCTGAAAGATACTAAGAAGCTTGCTCTTTAGAGAGGTTCTATTAAGCCAAATGATAATGCTTAAACAGAATCCCACTTTGTGGTCTAAATTAATTTTTTTGATTTATATTCTTTTAAAGCTATGTTTTTTTAAAAGTTAGGTTTATTATAATTTACATACAGTGAAATTCACCTGTTTTTAGCGTACAGTTCTATGAGTTTTGACAAACACATGCAATCATGTAGCCACCACCACAATAAAAATACAGAATATTTCTATCACCCCGGAAAGTTTCTTTGTGCCCTTTGTAATCAACCCCTTCTACTACACCCATCCTTTGGCTACTACTAATCTATTTTTCTATCCTTAAAGTTATATCTTTTTCAGAATGTCTTATAAATAGAATCGTCCAATATGTAGCATTTTAAATCTAACTTCTTGCATTTAGCTTAAGGCATTTGAGATTCATCCATATTGTATGTATCAGTATTTTGTGTTCCATTGTATATATACATATGTATCTCAGCTACTTTATTCACTGATTGAAGGACATTGGGTGGTTTCCAGAGTTTTGCAATTATAAATAAAGCCTCTATAAATATTCACATATACATATATATTTTTATTTCTCTTGGGTAAATATCAAGAGTTAGATTTTTGGATATTATGGTGAATATATGTTTAACACAACAAACTGCTCAACTGTTTTCCAAAGGATCTTTATTATCTTGTGTTCTTACTGATATGAGTTCTGGTTTTTCTACATTCCCACCAGTACTTTGTATTGTCTGTTCTTTCAGTTTTAGCCATTCTAATTGGTGTGTAATGGTATATCATTGTGGTTGTAATTTGCATTCATCCCAAGGCTAATAATGTTCAGCATCTTTTCATGTGATTATTTGCTATTGCAGATTGAATTATCTCTTCAAATCTTTTAACCATTTGAAATTCAGTTGTTTGTTTTTCTATTACTGGGCTCAGGAATTTTAAAACATATTCATATTCTTAAGTTAAAAATATTATTTGTATATATGCAAATATTTTATCAGATATGTTTTACAGATTTTTTTTCTATTTTATAGCTTGTCTTTTCATTTTCTTTCAAAAAACAGAAGTTTTAAATTTTAATAAAGTCTAATGATCAATTTTTATGGATCATACTTTTTGTATCGTATCTAAGAAATTTGCCTAACCTAAGATCACCAAGATTTTCTCCTTTGTTGTCCTCTGGAAGTCTTACAGTTTCAAGTTTAATAGTAGGTCTATGATCTATTTCAAGTTAAGTTTTATATATCTTGTAAGGTATAGTTTAAGGTCCATTTTATTTTCAGGTGGATATGCAATTGTTTTAGTATTTTTTTTATATTTATCAGTTGATGGGCATTCAGATTGGTTCCACTTTTTGGCTATTATTCTATGAACATTTGTATATAATGTTTTTTGTGAACATATGCTTTCAGTTGTCTTAGATATTAATATAACCCAGGAGAGTCATGTGGTAACTCTATGTTTATCTTTTTGAGAAACTGCCAAACTGTTTTCCACAGTGCCTGTGCTATTTTACAATCCCACCAGCAATGTATGGGAGTCTCAGTATCTCCACATCCTCATCAACATTTGTTATTGTCCCCATTTTTAATACCCATTCCAGTGAGTGTGAAGTATCTTACTGTGTTTTTTTAATTGAGATGAAATTCACATAATATAAAATTAAACCATTTTAAAGTAAACAGTTCAGTGAGTGGTGTTTAGTACAGTCACAGTGTTGTGCAATGACCACCTCTATCTAATTTCAAAATATTTTCATCACCATAAAAGGAAACCCTGTACCCATTAAGCAATCATTCCCATTTCCTCCTCCTCCCAGTCCCTGACAATCAGCAATCTGCATTCTGTCTCTATGGATTTACCTATTCTGGATATCTCATATTAATATAATTATACAATATGTGATCTTTTATGTCTGGCTTCTTTCACTTAGCATAATGCTTTTGAGGTTCATCCACATTATAGTATATATCAGTACTTCATTCCTTTTTATGGCTGAGTAATAGTCATGGGATGTATTGCGAGTGTGTATATGTATATATGTATACACAAACACGTACATATACACACCACAATTTGTTTATCTGTTCATCCACGGATGGACATTTGCATTGTTTTCATCTTTTGTCTGTTGTGATTAGTACTGCTATGAACCTGTATGTACATGTATTTGAGTACCTGTTTTCAATTGGGTTACATATAATTAGGAGTGAAATTTCTGGGTCATATGGTAATTTTATGCTTAACTTTTGAGGAATCACCAGTTTTCCACAGCACTAAATCATTTTACATTCTCAGCAGTGTACAAGGGTTCCAATTTCTCCACATCCTCATCAACATTTGTTATTTTTGTTTTATGATTATAGCTATCCTAATGGGTGTGAAATGGTATCTCATTGTGGTTTTGATCTGCATTTTTCTAATGACTATTGATGTTGAGCATCTTTTTATGTGCATTTATATCTTTGGATCTAAAATGTGCCTTTTATAAACAGTATACAGTTGGATCTTCAAAAAAGTTTATTTTGCCTATCTGCTATTTAATTGGAGTAGTTTAATTCATTTATATTCAATATAATTACCGCTAAGGTAGGATTTGCATCTGCCATTTTGGTATTTGTGTTTTTGTTTTTCCTCTGTTTCTCAACTACTGCTGCCTTTAGTGTCAAATAGATCTAGTGTGCCATTTTAATTCCCTTATCATTGCTTTTATTTTATATTTTGTATGTAATAAAAAGAGTTACAAACAAAACATATATTTGAACTATTTTTTTTTTATTTCGGCATATTATGGGGGTACAGATTTTAAGGTTTCAATAAATGCCCATTTCCCTCCCTCCCCAAAAGTCTGAGTCTCCATCATGACCATACCTAGATGGTGCACATCTCACTCATTATGTAGTATATACCGCCCCCTCCCCCTCCCACCTGCCCAATACCTATTACTGTAGTACCTATGTGTCCACTTAGATGCTACTCAGTTAATACAGTTTGCTGGAGAATATATCTGGTGCTTGTTTTTCCATTCTTGGGATACTTCACTTAGTAGTATGGGTTCCAGCTCTAACCAGGAAAATATAAGATGTGCTATATCACCATTGTTTCTTAGAGCTGAATAGTATTCCATGGTATACATATACCACATTTTATTAATCCATTCTTGGATTGATGGGCACTTGGGCTGTTTCCAGCCTTGCAATTATGATTGTGCTGCTATAAACATTCGAGTGCAGGTGTCTTTTTTGTAGAGTGTATTGGATCATTTGGGTAGATGCCCAGCAATGGGATTGCTGGATCAAATGGTAGATTCATTGTATCGCTCCATATTGCTTTCCACAGAGGTTGAACTAGTTTGCAGTCCCACCAGCAGTGTAGGAGTGTTCCTCTCTCTCCGCAACCACCACGCCAGCATTTATTGTTTGGAGATTTTTTGATAAAGGCCATTCTCACTGGGGTTAAGTGATATCTCATTGTGTTTTGATTTGCATTTCCCTGATATTAGAGATGTTGAGCATTTCTTCATATGTTTGTTGGCCATTCTTCTGTCTTCTTTAAAAAATTTCTGTTCAAGTCCTTTGCACTTTTTAATGGGGTTATTTGATTTTTTCTTCCTAATTTCGTGAGTTCTAAGTATATTCTAGTTATCAGTCCCTTATCGGATGCATAGGATGCAAAAATTTTCTCCCATTCTGTAGGTTGTCTGTTTACTTTCATGACTATTTCTTTGGCTGTGCAGAAGCTTTGTAGTTTGATCATGTCCCATTTATTTATTTTTGTTGCTGCTGTGATTGCCTTTGGGACTTCTTCATAAACTCTTTGCCCAGGCTGATGTCTAGGAGAGTGTTTCCAACTTTTTCCTCTAGAGTTCTAATAGTTTCATACCTTAGGTTTAAGTCTGTTATCCA